GGACCCCCCTCCCCCCCCCCCCCCCCCCCCCCCCCCCCGCACTGTATTAATGTATAATTTCTGAAAGTTACGTTGGGCATGTCTACACAAGACAATTTACTAATCTACTGTGTGGTGAAGCATCAATGTCTACATATGCAGGGCATTTAATGCTCAGTAAATTAAGCTACTGTGCAGTTAGCTAGTACCTCTAGGTACTAGATTAACTGGGCAGTAGTTACTGTGCAGTAGAACCCATGTAGATACTGACCGGAATCAAATTTGCTCCTGGTCAGCCTAGACAGCAGGGGGCCACAGGGGATAGGGAGCTCTCTGTCCCTAGTCTGGGCACTGCTCACCTCCCAGCTCTTCCAAGGAACTGGGAGCTGATCAGTGCAGGGAAAGGGGAACCCCTATCTCAGCTCCCAACTCTCAGTGCAGAGCTGACTCTTCTGGGAGACAGGCAGGGTCTGGAAATCCAGTCTCCATCCACCCCCAAAGCAGCTCTGTGTGGCCTGGAGCTGGTTGCTTGTGGGGGCTAGGTTGCCAGCCCCCACTGTCCTCCAAAGTGGCCAACTCCATCCCAGACAGGGTAGCTACCAGTGAGCCCTATGCCTCCTCCACCTGGCAGATGGCTTGCCAGCATCTGCTCCAAACCCAGGACAGCTCCCAGTGAACCCCTTGCTGTGCAGAGGAACCCCACTCAGCAAGGGGCTCACTGGCAGCTGTGTGTCTTAATGGGCCCAGGGCCAGGAGAGCTCTGCCTGTTGCAAAGGTAGATGTCTCCCAGCCTGGTGCACATCAGATCCCCCTACTGATGTGCATGGGGCCAGGAGACAGCTGTTGCTGCAGCCAGAAGAGCTCTTCTGACCCTGTGTTCATAGGGACCAGCTGTTGCAGGGGGGCAGAGCTGCCTCTGGCTGCTGCAGGGGGAGTAGAGCAGGGTGGGAGCAAATCTGCTCCCATCAGGGATCACACGTAGATGCGCTCCCCAGGGAAGTCTTACTGTGCACTAAAATACTAATGACAATTAATAAGCACATGTAGATGGGCCCATTTTGAAGCAACAGTCACAGGAGCAACATAAAAGCACAGCCCCTTTCTTCCACACGGGTCCACTTTCTCTTACTACAATGACAGCAAGGTAGATGAACAATATGAGTTTTTTTTATTGGTTCTCGGACATTAGAAGATCACCTTTTCTTCAGTGAGTTGAGACTCATTGGATGAAATTCTCCTGGGATGATTAAAAAGGCTTGAGGACTAAATTACTAGTCCTGTGCTACAAAAGAACCATACAGCCCTACACTACCTGTCCTAATATCTCTACTTAGAAAACAAAGTCCTAATAATGGGTTTTTTGTAACAAAATGTTTTTAAAAAGTTCTACTTCTTCCTTGGTGTTTCTCCATGAGACTCTTTACTGTGCAGTAGACTAATCTATACTAAAGCATCACCATCTACCATATTTCACAGTGTCTTAAAAATCAAACTCGACTCATACACTGTGCCACATCAAAAAATCAGGCACAGGGCTGGGCTTGGCACTCGGCTGGTGCAGTCCCATCCCCTGAGTGACAGTGCCTAGACTGCACCAGCACCACATGCTGGGGATGAGGCAGCACCAGCTGAGTGCTGAGCCCAGCCAAGTCTATCCCAATCCCCATCCCCATGCCCTGTGAGCAGTGCCGGGCTTGCAGGGGATGGGGCCGCGTCACCTGAGTGCTAAGCCCAGCCCCATCCCCTGCAAATGGCCCTGGGCTTAACATTCAGCATCACTGCTCACAGCAGACGGGGCCAGGCTCAGCACTCGAGTGGCACGCCCTCACCCCCTGCGAGCCTGGTGCCACTTACAAGGGATGAGGACAGGGTCAGGCTTGGCGCTCTGCTGGTGAGGCCCCATTCCCTGTGAGTGGAGCTGGTGCAGCCCAGGCAGCAGCACTCACAGGAGATGGGGCCATGCTAGTCAAGCACTGAGCCCAGCCCCGTCACCGTCTCTGTTCCCTGCAAGCAGTGCTAGGCTCGGTGCTGCTCACAGGGGATGGGGACAAGGTTGGCTCAGCTGGGGATGCACTGCTCACAGGGGACAGAGATGGGACCAGGCTCAGCACTCAGCTGGCACAGCCTCATCCCCTGTAAGCGGCACTGGGGGATGGGGCTTCACCAGCCAAGCATTGGGCCTGGCCCTGACTTATATACCATGCCTATGAAAATCCTTACTTTTCAAATCAGAAAGCTGGTGGTTGACCTATATACTGTGTCAACCTATATTCCATGAAATATAGTACATATGTGCATCATTTGCTGCCCGGTAAATTAGTCTACTGTAGATACAGGTAGCAGATTAACTATGCAGTACCTAGTGCGCAGTAGCATATATGTAGCCAGCTGACTCAGAGCAATTTGCTCCTTATTAGCCCAGACAGCAAGAGGTGGGCAAACTGTCCTCGCCCATGGGCATCTGCTTCCCTGCCCTTCTCTCTAATTGACCAATCAGGGTGTGGCCTGGAAAGCACCTGCTTGATGGAGAGGACTGTTTCCCTGCCTAGTGCCCCATTCAGGACTTGGGCTGGGAACTAGCTACTTGGGAAGGAGACAGTTTTTCAGCCCCATGCCCCAGTTGGCTGATTGGGGTGCAGGCTGCGAAGCAGTTGCTCAAGGGAGGGGACAGTTTCCCAGTCCTGACTGGCCATCAAGACATGGGGTTGGGAAGCAGCTGCTTGAGGGAGGAGCTGGGAGGCAGCTGCCCTGAAGGTGGGACATCTCCCCTTGCCCTCCGGAGCCCAGGCTTTACCCTGGTGCCCTCTGACAACCTGGGCCTGGCACCCGAGGGAGCCTGGAGCTCCCCCTGGATGCTGTAGGGGGACAGGAGTAGCCCTCACTGAACTACTTCCAACAGGTGCACATGCAAACACACTTCCAAGGAAAGCTTACTGCTCTTTATTTTACTGTGCAGGAAGCTTACAGTGCATTAATAGTACATGTAGACACACCCTCTATGCCCAAATTGCTTTGGTTTTGGTAAAAGGTAGCATTTTAAGCCTCTCACTTGCTGTAAGGCCTAGTGAATCTTGAATTCTTTCCTACATATTGTCACAGCTTCAGAAATGGGTGGAAAATGGCTTCACTCAAAAGAACCTATAACTTGTGCTTAGGGTATTTTCTTAGTCAGTGGGAAGTCTGAATTCAAATTTCCACAGGCAAAGGAGGAAAAATAAACATTTTTTGATGTAATATGTAAGCATTATAACCATTAGATCATAATCTAAAAGGATTCCTCCTCCAGTCGCGCCTTAATAGTGACCACTGCTCTGGTTTTGAAAGATTATAGGTGCTTACCTTTAGAAGACAATTCTGAGCTATAAATTCTGAGTCAATGGCAAACCCCTCTGTTGTTAAGATCATAATGGATTTGTCTGCTAGGGGAACCAGCTGTTGTATTTGGCAAGACTGAAAAAGTGACCAGTTATATGATGACAGTCATGTAGTAGATAGTGTAGCTATCATTAAGTGTTGTCCTCCTCATTGCTGACTCTTTTTCAAGTGATGGTTTTCTATGACATTGCATACAGTTCACCAAGAATCCCTATGTCAGCCCCTCTCTCAGCCTGGCACATAGTGCAGCCCTACCCTTCATGATGTGGAGCCAGACCAGGTTGCTGTGTGCCTCATCTACATATAAATTTTCAGAGCATCTCAGGACTTGTGACAAGAACACCCAGTTCCAGTCCTGAGTGGGGGCTAATTAGCACACATCCTTTGTGGACGATATCTGAGCAGTGTTGAGCAGCAGGGCACACATACTGAGTAGTGCTGAGCTGAGCTGTGAAGTCACCATGGCGCGAAATGTTGTTGACGCTCGTGGGGCCCAGCTCCATGAACTATGTGGTAGATCACGAGCCTTTGGCTGAATATCATGCATAGTTTATACTATATATAAGTAAGTGCCAAAGGGCTGATCAAAAGTGTTTATGGAAAATCTATGCTAAAACAGGGAGCAGTTTCAAGACAAGGTAACATGCATCAATTCTAGATAAACTAAGTGCATCGGTAGTGTATGCAAATTGTGACAACTATGTTTAATTTCAAGACTGTTTTCAAATTTGCTTCTCAATTCTGTGTGCTCTGTGTGCAATAAGGAGAGGGGGAAGGGGCTATAAAGCAAAGAAGTTAAGGGAAAGCAGAGGCAAAGGGCCTACCTGCCCCCCCCCCCGGTTTATTTGCCCTACTGTAGCAGTGAGAGTGGGACAAATTCAAGGCAAACTTCCAATAATTAGATTCTATACCTGAAAAACTATAATAAATTGACACATTTTCAATATATGGAATCTAATTATTGTGGCATTATCTTACAACGTAATCATGGTTGTCTTCTATTCGAGTAAATAGGGTATATAACCACTCTGATTTTAGCAGAAGTGTTTATAGTGTTCTTTTATCAGATTTATATTTATTTTTAACTTTCATTATCGGTTTGTTTTATAAGAAGTAAATGGTCTGTATTTCAATTTTGTGATAGCTAATGATACTGCATGCCTAATTAAAACAGTATTTGTAGTGATTCATTTGTTCTGTTTTTTTTTTAATCAGCTAGAATTTATACATACATGCTGGAGAAGTCCCGTATCATTACGCAACCTGTCAACCAGAGTAATTTTCTTGTTTTCTACCTGATGATGGATGGATTGTCTGCTGAAGAAAAGTACACCCTGCACCTCAGTAATTTGTCTGCACACAGGTAAGGGAGCAGTACATATATATTTATTTAAGGGCCTGACTCTGAGATGAAACTTTTTATTGATATGAATTTGGTTTCCTGTTCTTGAAATGGTGCCTAAAGTTATTGTTTCTTTTCAAGTACTTGTTCATGTGGATTCCACTTTATGTGTGTACAGATTCTTTTGCCTATTGGAAACACTGGCTGGAGGAAGAAATTTTTCTTTTCTTTTCTTTTCTTTTTCCTTTTAATCTACAACAGAACTGATAAAAAAAAAAAAAAATCTAGTGGAACGTTCTTTCTGTCCGACTGCAACTTCACTGAACTTGAAACTTTCTGCAGGAATATGTTGATGCCAATGAAATTTCATTTTGAAATAGATTTTACTTGCTCTTCCTATTATTCTACTTTGACATTCCATCTCCATTATTTTATTCCATCTTATAAAAATGACATGAAATAGTTGAAGAATAAATGGAATGCTTGAATTTTATTGAAACAAGATTTTGGGTCTGTTGAAAATTTGTTTTAACAAAAAATTCATTTCCTGAGAAAATTCAAAATTTAACACTGATTTAGAATGAAAAAAAAAATCCAAATTGGAGAGTGTGCCTTTCTACTTTTCATACAACCTCTTCATCTACCTTGAAGGACCTTTCACATGCAAAATTGTTACAGCAAGAGATGGAATCCTTTTTTGAGCTTGGGGAGGTCAACCACTGAAGTTAATATTTCTCAATTCCAAAAAATTCCATCCTGGGCAATCCATGTGTCTAAAGCTTCACTGTTGTTTCAAGTTCAAGGTGGTGAAACTGAGCTAGACCCAGTAAAAGACTAGAAGCACATAACTTTTTGGCACTTCCTCCCCTTTCCCCTATGACCAGCATAGAATCCAGGATTCACAGCTAGGCTCCATACTCAGTGCCTGAGAATAATCAGGTGCTTTGGAAAGGCAATCTAAAAAACCTGTGCACTGAATAAAGAGCCATGTGAAGCCAATTGATAGGAAAGCTAAGAGCATTAATGTGTTCAAACACTCACCACCTCTCTGGAGTGCAGCTGCTTCAGTCAAGGTTGTTTAAAGTAAAATACTGTATTTAGCCGAATACAAGCCAACCTTTACTTTAAGACAACCCCATAATCATTAGATTCTATACATGGAATGTTTTAAAATTAATTATAATTTTCCATTTATGAAATCTAATCATTGGAGGATCATCTTAAGTTTGCCCCCCCCACCCCACTATTGCAGGTGGTAGGGTAGAGGTAATGAGGTGGGGCAGTAAAGGGTCAGTTAGTGGGGAAGGCAGTAGGGGGCAACATGGTAGGGCAGGCATTGGCGAACAGTATTGAGGCAAGCAGTAAGGGGAGGTAGGGGGCAAGTAGTGGGAAGGCTGTGAGGAAGGCAGTGAGAGACAGACAGCTTGCCACCTGCTGCCTGCCCTCCCCACTTACCCCTATTGTGCCTGCCTCCCTATAGCTTCAGCCTGCCCCGATCCCCCTTCCCCTGCCTGCCCTCCCCCTTCCATGCTTCTTGTGCCCCATGCAGCTTCAGTCCTCACCCGCCGCTCTCTCTCTTATCTCCCCCACAAAGTCTCTCCATCCCATCTGCCCCTCTGCCCACTTACCTTTGCTCTCTGCTGGTAGGCTTCATCCGTGCTACAGTCTGGGACATGGAGCATGGTTACAGCCTAGCCCTGCAGCAGCAGCATGGAGCTGGCACTGTTTCTACAGGGCTTGGTTGCAGCACATATCCCATGCTTCATACTCCAGACTACAGCAAGCACAGAGCCTGCCATCATGGACCAAAGGTAAGGAGGAGTGTGATGTGGGGGAGGGAGGGGACAGGCTGAAGGGGAACGGGGAGAGACTGAGTGTTGCAGCGGAGGAGTGACAGGGCATGCAGATGCAGCGGGGAGCTGGTTGGAGCTGCAGCTACAGCTGTGGTTCTGGCTCTGGCCCCAGCCCTGGGTTGGGTCCAGAGCTGCAGCAGCTGCCTTCCCCTCACTGCCTCATACTCAATGTAAGGCAAGGGGCTTTCCCCATGTTAAAGGGCAGGGGGAAAAAATTTCATCTTCTAATTGAGTACATATGATATAAAAATGATGATGGGATCAGAACCCAGGACATTCCCATCCTAGGCAAGTGCCCTAATTACGAGAATACAGAGTAATGCTCCCTCTTATGATCTCTCTTTCTGGTTCCCATGCATCTTATATTCTTCATTGTACTAGCTTCAGTAGTGCTTCTCCCTCTGCTCCTCTTCTCCCCACACACATTCATTTACTCAGCTGAATCCATACTCTGGTGATTTAAGTCACTCTCCTGGGAAGTGGCAGATATGTTTTTGAACCCTCTCAGGCTGAGGAGGGCTGAGGACCCAGGTTTCCCACAACTTGCATGGATGCCTAAGTCATTGGGCTATTATAGAAAAGATGGTTGTTGGTACTACTACAATCTTCCAGTAGTTTTGATTTAGAAGGGAAGCAGTTGCAACTGCATTTCGTACAAGGCCTAATCCTGTCTACTTGTGAGAGACTTGGCCAGAATGTGCCTGCTTATCAGGCACTTCAGAAAACTACAGCTCACTCCACCTCATTTCTGGATCCCAACATAGCTTGTGTATAAGCTAATGATAACTGCTGAGACTGAGAAAGTTCTGGACATGAAGTAGAAATCCGGCTATAGGCATGTAGGGAGTTTTTGCATTAGAGAGAGTGGTGTGCCTGGTGAGTTTTAGGGATCTTCAGGGCTAGGCAGTGGGTGTGATCTGGAATACAGTTTTGGACTCATTTGCCTAATACATACCCAAGTCCTCTTTTAGGCTCTTAAGTCTTTCTTTGTGATCTGGAACTATGGCTGCTGGGCTCTATTTTTCTTGCAGATCCTCAGGATCACATCTCTTAACCCAAGTTGTCTTTTTTCATGTATCTAACAGGCAATACTTTATATTCCTTACCAAAATATCTTGCTACCAATGCAGGGTCCTGCCCTTCAGTCTTCTAGAGCAGTAAGGGTGCTTATTAAATACTTGTCAGTTATAGCAGCTCAAATAACCATAGAGCTTTTTGCCACAGAAGCCTCAAGGGCAGCAAGAAAGATCTACTCTTAAATTAATTTAAAGCATAAATCAAAATTCTTCTTATGAGAGCCATATTAGATTCCAGGTTAATGAGAGCTGGTCTTCTACAGGAAAGATTTCAAACTCTACTAGAGATCATTAACAATCTTCAGGGTCGCTCATAACATCCTAAACAATATGCCTTAGACTTTGGTGTCATCCAGCCTCATGTATTTCTGTGATGGAGTGCCAGACTACACCTACCATACATAATTCTAACCACAACTATATGGAGTGTTTACCTAGAGGACATCCAACAAGAGTTCATTAAATTGTTAAACCCATGGGAAGACCCACTGATGGAAAGTACCTTCCTCTTCACCTCACCCTACAACACTCTGGTAACAGAAGCCTTGACTCAGGACTTATTCAGGTCACCATCAAAGTTATGGTCCCCTTCATAGAAATCTGTCCTGGCATGTGTTTTGTCTCTAGAAATCCACAAAATTCTGCTAGATGATATGGCAGCTGTGTATTATGACAAGAGACAGGTCAACTCCATACTGGCACCAGATCACACTGCTGGCTCTGCATCTTCCAGGCATTCAGAATTCACTAGCAGATCACCTCAGCAGCTAGGTTTCAGACAATTATAAATAAAGGATCAAAGCTTCTATCTTTCATAGCATCTTTCACAAATAGGCATACCTTTCAGTATCAGAACAAGAAATACCAATAGTTTTCCTTCAGATATCCACTGAGAGAAAGCATTCAGCTGAAATTCTAAACCAGAAGAGGAAACTGTGGACCAGACTGTAGTGTGATGATAATGATATATAACTCTAAATAGAAGATATTTTGTGTTTGGGCATTGCAGCACCAGCTGCCCACCTCAACATTTGTTTCAGCAGTATTGGACTGTTTATTAGTTCTGAAAGAGTCTGGAAGTCATATTAGTTTTATAAAGAACTATAGCATACTGCCTTTAGAACAGGTGTTAACAAACCTGCTCCCTCTACTGCCTGTTAATAAAAACTGCCATTGCATCACCTCAAAGAGTTTGGGGTTGGGGTGTTCAGGCACTCAAGGCAGGCATCTTTTAAACAGCATCCGCTGTGGGAGGTTGACTGTCATATCTCATTGCCAGCTTTTGGCCAGTGTTTCAGAAGTCCATGTGAACCAGTTTCTTCATGCTGTATTTTTCTTTCCCTCATTTCACTCAACAATGAAACTTGGCATACAAAGGACATTGTCATATTACCTAAACAGGACCAAATCATTTACTAAAGCACCACACTGTTTATGGTCTTTGCTAATAAGATGACAGTTTGGCCTATACCCTCACAGAGATTATTTAAATGGGTCACCAGCTATTTAAAAGCATATTGTGAGTTAGTCAAATTAGATCTACCTAGTTATACAGAACTCCTTCTACTAAAGTTTAAACAGCCTCTACTAAAGTGTCTCATACCACAAATATCCCTATTTGTCAATTATGTAGGCAACTCACAGAGCTCAGATCATGCATTTATGAGTCACTATTCTTTGGTTGGCCTGACTGGATTCACATTTTGATAGTACTGCACTGCAGGGAGTTGTTGAATAGAATTTCTAGTATCCATGGGCAGACCTAGGATTTACTAAAGGGTGGTGTGACACACTGCCCCTCAGGCTATGAGGGGATGGGGCTTGGTGTGCCTGACTGCTGTACAGAGAGCTGAGCTTAGTGGAGGACAGTTGTGGCAGTGGGTGACTTCCTTCTAGCAAGTGACCCCTGCTTCTCCTTCTACCCCCTTCCCCCCCACCCAGCGTCTCCCACTAGTTGGGAACAGGTGCTTGAAGGAGGGACCCTGGCACCTCTGCTACTGTCCCTGGCCAAGCCTGTTTCCATGTGTCCTTTTCCCACAGCCCTGGACCACAGCAAGGCAGGAGCAGCTCTGGGGGTTCTCCAGTGCCTGCA